GTTTTAAGAAGGACACTCGATTTTCCCCGGGCTTCTTTCTCGACCTCTAATCACTATTGTCAATACAGGTGCAGAGCAGACAAACTGTAACTCATGCGTGATTAGTTTAAATTTGGAAAATTTAGAAGTGCGGTATGTATGACCCTAGCCAAAAGTATGTAACAAAATAGAACTTTATTCATTCACATTTGAAAAAAAATACCTGGTATAGATAGCAGATTTTAAGAGAGAAACTAGAGAATCCTGATCAGGTCTCATTCCTGCCATGAGGTTGCTGCATAGGCTCAGACAATAAAAGAAATAGGGCACCTGGAGGAAGTGGCTGAACTGGGACAGTTGTTTGAGTTGTTTGATGGTGCAGAGATCAGTGTAGTTAGGAGGTAAGTATTTTCCAATCGCAGATCAGAGAGCGGAGTCTACTATTTTTTTCTCACTGGGCACTGGCTCTCAGCTAATCAAGGTCATAGTCAGCAGTTGTACTTTTATTGAGTCTCTGTTGCCAAGTTCTCCTTAGCTTCATAGAGAAGTAGGGTATTCATATAATTTACTTTAGAATTTTTATAAAGTTTTGAGAGTGTGGAAGCTATTAAAACTTGTACACCAACTCTCCTAACAAAATTGGATATCTGGCCTTCCTACATGGAGGGCCTTTTATGATATATGGAACACTCAAATTTTATTAGCCTCTGTTCTATCATCCCCATCTCCCACCTACTTTCTATCCCTGTCTCCCCTCCCACTTCCAATCATCTTCTACATGTGCACATCAAAAAGTTCATGGGAAAATGTAGTCATAAGCTTGAGTCCAAAATGGATTTTAATTGATGTACTGCATTTTTTTTAAATATAGGGTGCAATGTTGTGGTACAGCAAGTTAAGCCACCACTTGCTTCGAACATTGACAGAGATCTCCCTTTTTCAAGCTATGTATCATCTTTCTTATGTTTCTTTCAGGAGGATTTTTGAAAAGAAGATGCAAACTTTGGGAAGAAATTCTTCAATGGCAGAATTTCAGGCCAAAAAAAAAAAGTATTTTGAAACAAGTGCTCTGACCATCATGATGTTATTTATGAAAACTTTATGGTTGACTTGGCATCTTATTCCTCTTCCTTTCTTAATTACAATATAGTGAGTTCACAGGTCTGAGTGCTCTTTAAATAACTGATACTTTATTGGTTCCATCATAAATCATGAGGCCTCAGGCCTCCCAGCACCTCCTAATCTGGGGATTCAGAGAAGAAATCATAGGACAAACTGAATAAATGTGTCATGTAGATTTTGTGCTTTGTTAAATATTTGAATATTTCTGAACTGAAAGTTGTTCTTACTTTAGGGATTTTCAGATTGCCATGGGGGTGGTGGGAAGAGTAGGAGACAAGGAAGAGAGCACCCACCCCCCCGAAAGTCCTTAGACTTTGCTCTTTGTGAAAACATCACCTTATTGCTTAAGTGGAAGGAAGAGCAAAGTGACACCTGCCACAGAAGATTTCATTTTTAACTAAGAAATAAGGACATCAGAGGAATTAAAACATAGAGTACCACTCAATAGTCTTCCTTCATCAAGCTACAACAGGGGACAGAAAAGAGCTTTTTCTGTTTTGAGTGTGAGTAATCCCAAACAAATTTGTAAGGAAAACTACCTCAGGCAGTCATGCTTAGTAGCATTTATGTTAAATAGCTCTTTTAACTCAGGTAATAGCATGTGACTAATTAATCATTCCCTACTAAGAAATTTCTAAACTAATTAAAATCCCAAAGTAGTCTACCTTTACCAGTGGGATGGGTGTGCTTTTGATTCTGCAGACAAGATTCGCAGATCCCATAAAGAGTGCATGCGTTCCTTTCCCACTCTGGCTTCTGACTCCAGCTTCCTGCTTATGCAGACATTGGGAAGGAAAGGTGACAGCTCAAGTGATTAGGTTCTTGCTGCTTTCATGGATTTAATAAAACCAGTAATAGAAAACAAAGAAAATGACTTTGTGATAATAAATTTCTAATTTTTTAAAGATGGATGTGGTGTTTGCAATTATTCATTTTGTCTTAAAACACTAACGAGACACAGAACTCTCAGAACTTTAGAGAATTCTTCCTTAATGATAGACTTTGAGATGTTTCTGAGAACTCTTACTTATTTGAAAGGCAGAGTTACAGAGAAAGAGACAGAGAGAGAGAGAGAGAGATATTCCATCTGCTGGTTCATTCCCCAGTGGGTTACAATGGCTGGAGCTGGGCCAGTCCAAAGCCAGGAGCCAGGAACCTTATACAGGTCTCCCAAGTGGGTGCAGAGACCCAAGAACTTGGGCCATCCTCTGCTGCTTTCCCAAACAAATTAGCAGGGAGTGGGATTGGAAGTAAGCAGAACAGCCAGAACTTCAAGTGGCACCATATGCAATATCAGCGTCACAGGCTGTGTCTCCCCCAGCTACACCAGAACATGGGCCTCAGATTATCAGGAATTGACTTAATCAGGCTAGCTGCAAGTCAGCAATGTGGCTCAGAGACAGGGTTGTAAGCTGATGGACCAAAGGACTGCTGCCCAGATCAGGTAGAAATCAACAATAAAAGATCACCAACTGTTTCTCTACATTGTCCTGGAAACTTTCTAACAAGATTTGTAGATTGCAAGTGACAGAGGGAACATGATGTGAGTGTTGATGGATAGAGCTTTCTCTACAGCTTGTGCTCACTTTCATATCCTCAGTCATCTCTTCTCTCCAGGAATTCCTAGTGATACAATCAAAGATTCCAGTACCTTCATTTATAGTGCCTTCCTTATTTTTACCCAAAGAAGGCTTAGAGAAAAATGTGGAACTTCTTATTCCTAAGTGACCCCTCCTTGCTTCTCTTACTGTGTCCTACTAGGGTGCCTCACCATATCTCACTGTGGGATCAGCATCTTTGAGGCCTTTGCCACCTGCCTCCTGGAGTTAAAACACAACCAACTCCATTGGTTACTGTTTCCCTCATAAATGTGGGAGAAAATATCTTCATTTTAGATATCTTATGCTCCTTGAGCTGTCATGGATGAAGTTGTTTTCTCAGCACTTCTTCTTTTTTATTTATTTGTTCATTTGAAAGGCAAAGTGATAAGGGGGGGGGGATCAAGAGAGAAGAGAGAGAAAGCGAGAGAGAGAGAGAATGAGAGAGAGGTAAAGCCAGAGAAGGAGAGAGTTTCCATCTACTAGTTCATTCCACAAGTGGCTGTAACTGCCAGGTCTGGTTAGGGTGAAGCCAGGAGACAGGAACTTCATCAGGCTCCCATGTGGGTGGCAGGGACTGTACTTGGGTCATCTGTTGCCTTCCCAGGCATATTGACAGGGAGCTGGATCAGAAATGGAGTCTCTGGGATTAAAACTAACTCTTGGATATGGGATGCCAGAATTACAACACAACAAAGCAGATACCCATCTTAATTCTTCTTAATTGAAAAAATTCCTAAAGATTTTGGAGATGTTTCTTAGTGTTTATTAATGAAAGTCTTGCTTGATATCCTAGCCCTATGTTATTCTACCTGTATCTTGAGCAAATAATTTATTTTCCCTGAGTCTTAGAAACTTTTAACAACAAAATGAGAAGAATAATATAACTATCAAAGATCATTTTGAGGTTTAAATGAGATAATTTGTAACAATTAATATATGACAAATAGTAATAGATTTATAATTGATAACTTCTATAATACAAAGACAGAAGTGTGAGGCACAAGTGGGCAAATGGGCTATTTAAGACAGTGCTAGACCAAGATTCCAAGGATTCAGATAGTTCTTGGAGACTGTGCTCTGAAAGTCTCATGCACAGAGCGTCTTAGGAAGGAGAACAAAGGAAACTACAGAGCTGAATTTGTGTTATATGACTATGAGTCAGGAGACTCTGCAGACAGAATTCTACTAGCACAGCAGTTGGTATTTTGTCCTGAGTTGGAAATAGTTTGGGTAAAATTACATCTACTCTAAGCAACTAACACTGGTACAATGGCAAAATGCCAAGTTTTCTTTGCCTTCTGAGGCATTTCAGTTCCAGTCACTGGCTCTATTAGGCCGAAAAATATCTAAATGGACCAAAGTTGATACTTTTGATACATATCAAAAAACAAGGAGGTCACATGAGACCAAATATAATCATAAATGTTTTCTTTATTTTCGTATATTAGAATACAAGAACGGTTTTATATGTTTGGAAATAAACTTTGTTACTTTAAAAAGTCTGGTCAGTCTGAGTGAGTATTGGGTGGTAAAGGTTGAGGTTTAGGTATTGAGGAAAATCTAGCAACATTACTAAAGTTATGAATAGAAAAATCAACATAGATCTTGGCTTTCGAACTAGGACTACAGCATGGATATGATGTGGTCCCGAGGCTTTCACTTTCAATCTTTTCCAGTGGACTCTTACCCAGTAGTCTAACACATAGATAGATAAAATGGAATTTCTTATCAACTGTAATTCACACAGAAGCTTTATAATAAATTCACTGGAGCCCTGGGGGACTCTTTTTAGACAAATTCTAAGGTATTTCCTTTCTAGACAGTTTTGAGTAGAGAAGAAAACTTTTTTATCCTGACTCTACTCTTTGATCCAAAAATAATAAAAGAAAGATGATTATCTTACTCTATCACTCAATTATCTCAAAATCCTTTTTTTCTATCTATTGCGTTTCCCCATGGGTTATTCTGCCCTAGTATGAAGAAGATGAAACCAAGAATAGTAGATGAAATTGTTTGGTCAAAAGACCCTCCTACCAGTGACAGTAGTTCTCCATAAAATAAAAGTAAATAATAATAAACAAGACTACTACATGATTTGAAAAATAGGTAGAGAGGAAGAACCCATATAAAACAAGAAAATAAAATACACAGATATATTATTCAATATATCAAAGTGGTCCACTCTATTCAGTGTGTTCTGAAAATCCAAAATTGTTGTACATATGAGTATTCCAGAAGAAATTTTACGTGTTGAGGCACAAAGAATCCCAGGGTCATATGCCCATCAATCTGTTCTTGCTAACTTTTGGAGATAGGGCCTCTCCTATGCAATATTGTTTTTAGGACTGCTTTTACTTCCTTATTCCTCAAGGTATAGATCAAAGGGTTTAGCATTGGTCCTACCAGGTTCATCAGAATTTGCACCACAGTTCCCAGCGTGGGGTTGGGTGTGGGCTGTAGGTAGACTGTAATGATGGGCCCATAGGCACACAGGATGGCGATGAGGTGAGCACTACAGGTAGAGAAGGCATGGCGGCGTCCCTCAATTGTGTGAATACTCAAGATAGCGACTGTGATTCGAAGGTAGGACACAAGGATTAGGAGAAAGCAGACAAGAGATACAAGGCCAACATTGGTAAAACTCACCCTCTGTGCCATAGATGTGTCAGCAGAGGCCAAGGGCAAGAGTGCTGGGATATCACAGAAGAAGTGATCCACATTATTGGGGCCACAGTAGGGCAATGTGAAGGTGAGAGAAGTCAAGACACTGAAATGGATGCACCCTAACAGCCACGTGCCCACAGCAAGGGCTACACAGATTCTAGGGTTCATGATGGTTGTGTACCGCAGAGGATAACAAATGGCAGCAAAACGGTCATAGGCCATCACAGTATACAAAAAGCACTCGATGCTTCCAAGGAAATGGAAGAAGAAGAGCTGGAAGACACAGTCTTTGTAGGAGATGAGTCGACTCAGTCCCATAAAGTACAGCAGCATTTTGGGACACGTCACAGAGGAGAAACCCATGTCAAACACGGACAAGTTCCCCAGGAAGAAATACATGGGTGTGTGAAGACGAGTAGAAGAAATGACAGCCACGAGGATAGATAAATTTCCCAGCAGAGTGCAGACATAGAAGGGCAAGAATAAGACAAAAAGCATAGTCTCCAGGCCCTCCGTGTGTGGGATTCCCAACAGGATGAACTCAGCAACCACCGAGCAGTTATTCACCTCCATGAGAGCCAGTCCTGAGCAAGGAAGAGGAAGCAGAGGTGGTGGAAGGAGGCTTGCTGTCAAGTCAATAGAATGGCTTGCTGTCAAGAACTGAACATACTGGGAAAATGAAATTTAGAGTGATTGTGGTTTGATTCCAAGTTATAGAAAGATGGTTTGTGATCCAAATTACAGCATTTTATAATTGGAATGTAACTATCGTAGACAACTTAGTTTCTGTATCAGCTGCTTTTGCTGTATTGATTCCAGTTGAGATTTTCCTTTATTAAAGCAATATTTTGAAAAGTATGCTAGAACAAAGCTTTTCAAGGGGAAGGACAGTGCCTACATGAACATACGCTGCTCCTCTCTTAGGTGAAGAAATAGCAAGTCTTAGAACCATTTAAAGGCATTTCATATTTCTGAAGATAATTGCAGCAACTTAAGAATCAATATTTTTGGGAATTATCATTGCTGACAACATTACATGCTATCCCTTTCTTTTTTCTAAATGAACAATCCCCAATTTATAGTTCAGAATCTGCACATATGGTCTCAGAGTATTTAATCCTCATAGTAACCCTTGGCTGTAGATTTATAGAAAGTGGAATATTTGAACAATAAACACTAAGCAATTCTCATAAATTATGATAAGCTAATAAGTGGCAGATGTAGGGATTTAAATCTTTTTCTCCCCAGACATCAGTCTGCATCTGTGATGGATCATGGCATCACTGCAGTTGCACAACCTCGCCCCAGTGTCATCCATGTTTTTCTTTTCATATCTCCAGATTATGAAAATGTGTCTGCTCCCACTTAGTGGGCAGTGGGAAATCAACTTTTGTGTGCCTACCTCCCACGCACACTCTGAAATCTAGGAGAGTAAATACTTCTTAATACTTACAGCTATATCCTCAGAGCAAAGAACAGTGACTGGAAAAGAGTAGCTTCTCATTAAGTGTTGAGAGAAAGCATAAAAATAGCTGACTCAGTGACTGGCAAGTACTGGACATCATCATTTGTCTTGCACACAGACTTATGACAGTACCAGACAGGAACTCTGTAAGCAACCTTGTAGAGCAGCTGGACCTGCTACCTATTCCTGCTTTACTCCATTCCCATGAACAGTTAGAATTGATCTCTATTTCCATGACACTAGCACCTCAGGATAAATATGCATTGTCTGAAATAGGTCACTTGACTCAACACAAGAGCTACACTCAACACTGCCTCCAAGATGGGGGTCACACATCACAAAAATAGCTTAACTGAAGATATCCAAGTGTAGGTTCCCTTTGCATTTCCATTCTTTAACCCATTTTTAATCAATTCCAATTCCTGGTTATAAAAGGAAATAATCATGAGGCTGTAAACCGGTGAGCTAGCACGAAAGGTTGAAAGAAAAACTGAGCAAATAATGTCTTATGGTTGTGCCCAATAGCTCCACATTTTTGTAATCCTAAAAGAGAACATTTTTATAGAAAAGACTCCAAATTGTCTTCTACATTAGATATATGAGGCAAAAGAAACAGGTAGGAAAAAAGACATAAAGATGATACTTATGTGGCTTACAAGAAGAAATGATCCTTTTACCATTTGTCTCTATGATCGGCAGTCCAAGTTTGCCTTTGGTATCACACTATGAGTCAAGGCCAGGGATCTGCTCTCACAATTCTGAAAGCCCTTTCAGCTTAGCCAAATGAACTCCAACCTGAATTTGTTCCTATCTTCAGCAAAAATATGTCTTCCAAGACACTAATAGCTACAATTTAAATTTAAATGTCTATGGTGCCTTTGGGACTCTATTCTTGAATGAGTTCCCTTTTAAAGAGGCTTCTGAGCAAAGGGAATAATTAGAAGTGAACAATGATCCAGTTGGAACAGAATAGGGTGATGTTCCCTGGAGGTATTGCTGCAATATGAACAAGGTAGTATCATATCCATAGTTCCCACTTTTGTAACTGACCAAGGGAAGTGGGAGAGAGATGAAGCATATTCCAACCTTAGGAAATATCTAGGAACCATTCCATTAGTTTCAGAAATTATTATAGTGATAAGAAGCAACAATCATGCATTTCAGACTTTTAGAATATCTAATTTCATTGCTTTTGTCTCAGTGTATTTATAGTCCTGGCTATGGGTTAAATTGTGAGCCTCAAAATTCATATAATGAATCCATAAGGCATATCCTCACACGACCCTATTGGAGCTGATGTTTTCCAGGGGGTAATTTTGGATAAATGAGGTCACAAATGTGAAGACCTGATTCAATAGAATGAGTACCTTATAACAGATCAATTTCCCCTTGCCCTCTGTTTCCTCTTGCCCCGGCCATGTGAGGACATAGAAAGAAAGCAGCCATCTGTCATTCACACTGCCTATTCTATGGTATTTTGTTATGGCAGTCTTCGTGCATAATCATCCTATGATTTCTAGCATTTTGATTTGTAAATATTTTCTAATAGTCTAAGAGAGTGCTTATGGCTTTCAGACTACATTTTTTAATCTTTTCACTTGGAAATATATTTTCCGTTACCATGAACCAGGAACTGTTCTCCACGTGATTTCTCAAGTATATATAATTGTATAAACATAATATGTCTGTCTAGGATCCTAAGGCTAACTTTGCCTTTGATGTCACACTGTAATCCAGGGTCAGGGATAGTAATTAGTCTTCAATTTACATATTTAATTTAATATGCAACATTGCTATTTTAAAGAGGACAGAAATATATGTACTAAGCAGATGATAAAAGATATTCCAATATCTGACAACAAATGTGGATGACCTATCAAAATATATAATTTATCAAATAGTCATTAATTATGCAAGCTGACTCAAAACCAGAAAACATGAATAATTATATGAATTAATTTCTGTTGTTTGCTGCAAAACCAATTATTCCAAATCTTCAGAGTTTAGAGATGTTCATTATCTCATAAATGTGGCTTAGGAATCCAGTTGCAGCCTAACTGGGTGTCTGACTCGGGGTCTCTGGAGAGAGTGCAGTCAAGCTCTTGGCTTCACTGAATCACTTCTGCTACATTATGTTCTCAAGAACGTAGTCACTAGATTTGGGCAGGTAACTGCACAAGGATCCTCAAAGGTGGAAGGACAGGGGAGGTAATGATGAATTATTAAATAAGTGGTCCTGGGACAACTGCCTATTATTATTTTTTAAAGTTGAACAGAATTGAATTCTTACCTTAATCACAAAGAAAAATCAATTATAGGTGGATTAAATATTTTAGAATAAAACAAACTTAAAGATATAAACTAAGGGTAATATGTGATTTCCAAATATGACACAGTAAACTTCTATTATAAAATAAAACTACTCTGAATTATGTAAAGTAAAAACAAAGCACTGGGACTGGCATTGGGCTTCAACAGGTTCAAGATACCACTTGGGACGTCCATCTCCAATGCCAGAGTCCTGGCTCCTCTGCTTCCATTCTAGGATATGGCTTCCTGCTAATATGCATAGAAAGCAGCGTGTGATGGACACCTCCTTGAGCTTCTGCCGCCTACTTGGGAGATCTGGATGGAGCTCCTCTCTCCTGTCTTCAGCATGGCTCAGTCCCGATTGTTTGGGGCATCTGGGGGAGTGGGGGTGAATCAGCAAAGAGAAGATCTCTCTGAATCTCCCCTCTGTATGTTACTTTGCCTTTAAACATATACATCTTTAAAGAATCACTATGTTCCTAAAGTAGTATTTATGAAATGCATGAAGTTTTTATACCTTAAATAAAAGGTTTCTGGGTAAAAAAATAAAACATTTAAAATCAATTCTCAAAAAATAATAAATAAAACAGACATTTATATTATTAAGAAAATGCTTTAAAGCTAGCAGAGAAGTTTCAAACAAGAAAATATTTGCAATACATTATGAACAAAAAGTTAGTACCCAGAATGCATACAGAACTATGATAATTTTATGAAGGTGAAAATATTTAAAAGAATGCTAAACTATAAAAACATAATATAAATTTCCCAAATAAACCAAATTTTCATTAAAATATTAGAAGATGCTTAACGTTTTTAGTAAGTATGAATTGGCATTTTAAAATTCAATGAATATAATTTCACACCCTCATATTTACAAACATTAAGATGGATACCAAAATAACGAGAATAAAATATGGAGCACAATGAGAAGTACTGTGAAACTCATTGATTGAGAACACACATGTAGTTGTTATAATAATTTAATTTCGGGTAGTTGTTTGTTACCAGTTAATAAATCTCTCTTCTTTAAAAAAAATTATTATTTATTTAAAATGCAACACGGCAGAGGGGAGAGAGAGAGAGAGACAGAGTGAAAGAGAGAGAGAGAGAGGGGAAACTTACAGCCAATGGTTCACTCCCTAAATAGCTGCAACGGGATCAGGGAATGCCATCCAGGTCTCCCACATGTGCTTGGGCTTCTGTCACCCATTGCCTTCCAGACACATAAAAAGAAGTTGAATTGAAAGCAGAGAAGCTGGGCTCAAAGTCCAATATGGGATGAAAGTGTCCTATGTGACAGCTTACCCTGCTAAACCAATGCCTGCCCCTACGAAATGTACCTCCTGTAGAAACCCTGGAACTTAAGTCCCAGAGACTTAAAAGAATATTCATAAGAATATGAAATTATTTGACAGTGTGTTACTAAATGCAACATTCTCACTGACCTTGACGCTTACACCTATTTCCACAGGGCTCCATGAACTAGCTTTGGTCTGTCACTCACGCATCAGGTCCACTCTAGAGAGACCTCCACGGAAACTAAATGAAGAAAGGAAAACACAGATAAATTATCTAATTATTCATATTAAGCCTGATAGCTCCTTTTCCTTGAGTTCTGACAACAGAGCTAATGTTTTCAAAAAAGTCTAAATCTACTGAATGTAAATCTACTTTGTAATAATGCTATGAATATTACAAATATAAATTACTGTCTATTATAAATAGTATAATAATATTTTATAGCTAATGTAATATATAATATATAGTAAATAATAAAATAAAATCAATACATAGTCATGCATGTCCTAATGACAGGAAAACATTCTGAGAAATGAGAAATGTGTTACTGGGTAATCACTTCGTCTACTGAATATCATTCAGTACGCTCACACCAACTAGATTGTATAAGTGAAGCACTCAATGTGGATTGTTGATGCAATAAGAGATGAAGCAACCTTGAGATGTGTGAAGCTGCTGCTATCATAACACAGCACACTGCTTTACAATAAACCTTTTTCTTATGAGTAAGAGCACACTCTAAAACGGCAATAAAAATCATGGTAC